AATGCTATAACAATTACACAAGGCTGAGAATCTGAGTGCTATATGAGTGATAAAGACAGGTTTAGAATGGGGCTCAGAGGAGAGAAAAAGGGAGGAGAGGGAAGGAGAGGAATGAACTGAGTCTAAAATAAAGGTTAATACATCAGTGTAGGATCTATCAAAACAGGAGCCATATTTAAATCCATTGTTTCCAATCACCTAGAACAGAGTGGGTCCATAGTAGACACACATCAAACACAAATGGATGAGTAGTAGTGCGTGGTAGAATTAAAAAGCAAGTTGTACCTGATGGCTAAACGACTTGAAAACAGGTCAAGAAATGGTGCCATTAAGGTTAGTCACTTCCCCTCAATAACTCTAAGTACCTAAATGCCGACTCTTTTCACCATCCAGGCATCTAGAGAGCTGGGTGGGAGGGAAGTTGCTGGTTTTGGCCACTACTGTGACCCCAGCACCTAGAGCGGTGCTCAAATGACTGAAGGCTCCAGAAAGTTGCCCTCTCCCCTTGGCCCCGCCACCCGCGGGGAAGGGCTGGCAGGGGGGTCGCACAGCATCTCGATTACGGCATTTCATTCGCTACGGCACTATCTATCGGACTCTAGCTAGGCTCTGCCAGGGCTGGGCGCGCCTCGGTCCCCAGGGTGCCACCTGACAGCCAACACCGACCGGATGATGCATGAATACAGTCATTATTAAAATTAGCTACCTCCTATCTCTGCCGGGTGAGTCTCACCAGTCCCTCTGGGCTGACTGTCCCGCCCAGCGCTCACACCGGGGCGCTTCAGGGAGGAGGACGCTTCTGGGGGTGGGAGGCAGGGCCAGACACGCGTCAGCGCCGGCGCGCCGCCGGGTCGTGCGCGTGCGAGGACGACGCATGCGCGGGCATCGGCGCGGCTTTAAGGGCGGCGGCGGCCGGGACGCCCCAGTTGGCCTGTCAGCCGGCTTCCAGGCACTCCCGGCGCTTGCGCGGCGGGGGCTATGGCGGCGGAGGAGGAGGAGGTGGACTCGGCCGACACCGGTGAAAGGTAAGCGCTGCCGGCAGTGGGCAAGGGGGCTTCGTGTGTCTCCGGCGCGCGCCCTCCGCGCGGGCGGGGTTCGGGCCCAGTGGGCAGCACCAAGGACTCGCCGCCCGCCTGGCGACGACTGGCCGCTTCCTCCACCCGCCCCAGCAAGAGCCCGCGCGGCGCCCCGAGGCGTCCCGGCGCCGCTCTACCCAGGACAGGCTCCCGTCAGCGCCAGGGCCCCGAGATGTCTGAGCCGGACTCTGGCCGCGCGGGAAGACCACCTTGACCCCGCGCGGAGGGTCCTCCCGGTTGTTGTGTCAGCCGCCCCGGCTCGGGTCTGCCAAGGGACTCGGCCTGCCCCTGTGCGGCCGGCGGGCGGTGCCCGGCCGGTACTGCACCTGACTGCGAGGCGCGGGAAGTTGCTGGGTCACTCTGTCCGCCTCCCGGCGCGGCTTCTGTCTTCAGGCACTACCTGTGCTCTGTCCAGCCTCGGCCGCTGGGCGATCCTTCCCCAAGCCGGAGGAAGGGGCGGCGCTTCTTTGGGGGAGGTTTAGAAAGAGGCCGGAATTCGCCCAGCGAGCAGCGAGCGGAGAGCGGCGGGAGGGCGGGGGTGCCGGGAAGGAGGGAGGGGGAGAAGGAATTAGGGAAGTGGGTGTATGGCTGTGGGTTCAGATGCTTCATGGAAACAAAATTAGCCCTTAAGATAGAGATACGTTCAAATGTGGTAATTCATCTTTCGGATGAAGGTCTTTGTCTTCAAAGCTCCACTGTCCCTTACTTGTTTGCGCTTCTGGGATTATTCCGGCTTTACTGTAGAAGTCTGTGTTGCATGTGCTTTAGAAGAACACACATATAGGAAACTGGAAGTTGGAGGGCAGATGTCTAATGTGAAACTTCTTGATATACAGGTATAATGAGTTTATTCTTTTCTACACCTAAATGACTCTTGCACTTGTTAATAGAAGAATTAATGAGTTAATGAGTGGAATAATTATATTGTTTTGGAGATTATTGCCTTGTTTCTCAAGGCCTGTCATTTATATTGGAAAGTAAACTTCTACACTTCCCCCATATATATTCAAGTTTTTGATGTCGATTCTGCTTCAGACATCTGAATTTGCCTAGGAAACATAACCTAAATGATAAAATGTGTACGATGAAGACAGGGATATTTGGAAAGATGTATGGGGGAAACTTGTGAAATATTAGAAACAAAGTTACTCTCTTGAGTTTTGTTTATTTGGTGAATGAGTCCACTGTTGAGGTTTGTTGATGAACTTCCTGTTGAGTGTTACGTAGACGCAGTAGGAACCTAATTGGTAGGTTGTGTTCTCATCTGGTTTGTCACAACATTTTTGACTCTTGACACTACTTTCAGGTGGACTCTTTGGTTTTGGTGTTGTGGGGCCTGGGAGTCCAGGACACAACCTGAAAGGGTTTTCTGGCTTTGAGTGATGGCTGGAGGTCACTGGAGGTAGATGATTAAAAAATCCTTAGCAGCTGATCAGCCATAGTTTCTAGACAGAGGTGGGCTTTCCTGGTATTCTTGGCAATACGCTTTAGCACTGTCCAGCGACTATACTGGTATGTCCTGAATGTACCAAGCAGGCAAGCAGAGAAGGTTAAGCCTCTACCCCTCCTAGGTGTTCCCCAGCAGTAATCCTGTCAATTCTAAGGTTGACCCTGTGTGCTGGGTATTATTGTTCCCATTTTGCAGTTGAAACTGCCTCTCGAAAGGCTGCTAACAGCTTGCCAGCAAGTAGTAGGGCTGGATTGGAACCCTTTGAGGTGTCTGGATTTAATCTAAGGTGCTTTATCCTGTTTCTCTGCTGCCTGTCACTGGAATTGGGACTCCTGTGGGATGTTTGGCTCGTTTAGATAGGGAGATGACATTAACAAAGGAAAGTTATAAAATGGTCACCTGATGGCTTTTTGGAGAATATGATTCTTGTCTTTTACTTTGTAGCACTTAGTGAAGACCTGCATCCTGGGGATCCATTTTGCTTTCAACATCCACCCTCTTTCAGTTGCAGCACAGTTGAGAAAGCTAAAGGAAATGAGAGTAGGGTAGACTTCCGTGAATTGCTTTAAGTTGTCCTAGAGAATGATTAAGTGTCAGTTGAGAGAAAGCTGTCACAGAATTGCCCATTTGCAGGGTAGACCGTAAAGAGGTGATTTGTAGTTGTATGCTGGAGTTGATTTGTACCAACAATCCATTGCTATGTTTTCAGGAATTTTGCCAACTGTTGGCAGCTTGAAATTGGCCATGGTGGGAGTATTTACACCATGGAAATAATCAAATGCTATAAATAAGGTATAAATAAGGGATTTTTCTCTCCCCTCCCAGATTCAGTCTGTTTGCCAGCTTCCTTGCTGGGTTTACATTAGAATGTGAATATAGGTCTTTGCCTTGGAGATAGGAGAGTGGATTTCTCTATTTAATCTTTTTAAAAACTGGCAAGATATGTGCCTTTCTCTCTGCTCCCTTCTTTCCTTTCCAAACCATTGCCACGTGACATCTTTAAAAAAATCACAGACCTTTTCACTGCCACGTCCCAATGGCCGCCTAGTTTTTTCAGTTCTTCTTCTTGGGTCCTTTTTGGTGTTTGTTACTGTTAATGATAGCTACTACTTTTTGAAACTCTTATTAAACATTCTAGGTCTTAATTACATTTTGCCTTTTATCTTACCTTACCTGAGACCTCTCTCTTTTTTTTTTCATTCTCTAAATGTAGTCATTTTCCCAGATTCTGTCATCATCCTTGTTTTTATATTTTGTCTTGTTTATGCAAACTTCTTGAACTATTTTGTCTATGGAGATGACTCAGATCTCATTCTTTTTCTGGAGCCTGCTTCTGTACTCTGGTGATGTTTCTAATTGTCAGATGTTTATGCCTGATTCCTCAAAATTTAACATGTCCAGGCTATGACCTTATTTTTACCTTCCTGCTCCTAAACGATATAAAAAGCTCAGTTCTTCCTCTTGAAACATTATATTGGCTTAAGCATTGCCTTGACTAATTGTTAGATTATTAGTCTAATCTCATGGTTCTGTAATTCCCACTCCTGATTTTGAGTTATTAAAAAAATTATGGGGAGAGATGATTTTATTAAAACTGATTGTTCAGTTTAAGACCTAAGATTTTTAGTTTTAATCCCTTTATTATTTTGTGAATGAACTTATTTTAGAACTGATGCAAAGAAATGTCACTGACTTGTTAAGTAGAGTACACATGTGGCTTCTTCAAGTATGTTTGATAATGAGGTCATATAAGTGATTCTAAAATGGTTTGTTTACTGTATGAAGGAAGGTAGGAAACAAGGGGGAGATAAGTGTTACCAGCATGTGGCTTGTCTAAAACACTTATACTACAACTCTGAGTCTTTAAAAGTTACAGGTTAGAAGTTGGTGGCAGGGGGCGGCGGCTAAAAGACTGTTAATTAATGTGTTAACATATATTAGACGGCCTGTGTTGTCGTTGATCTGATAGTGATCATTTGAATCACTTAAATATCATTTATCTAAAATAAAATGGCATGATAGTCACTTAAATTGTAGCTGTATGAGACCCTATTCTTTTTTTTTTTTTTTTAAGAGACAGGTTCTTGCTCTGTTGCCCATGCTGGAGTGCCGTGGCACAATCACAGCTCACTGCAGCCTCAACCTCCTGGGCTCAAGCAATCCTCCCACCTCAGCAACTTGCCCCTCACCCCCCTATTGTCTCCCAGGTTGCTGGGACTACAGGCATGTGCCAGGCATCTGGTCTTGACCTCCTGACTTAGCTCAAACAATCCTCCTGCCTCAGCCTCCCAAATATTCTTTTTGTCATTTCTCTTTCTCTTTCCCAAGAATAGGATTTAAAAAGTCAATTCACAAGAAAGGTCTTTATTTACCCAAGTGTTACAATTCCCAATTTGGAAGGTTTTAGTCGTTAGTTGAGGAAGTATTTCAGATAAATACAAATGTAAACATATATATATATATATATATTCATACCTCTAATTAATTTGGATATTTAAAAATCAAAGCTTCATGGCTTCTTTAAATGAGGTAGAATACTGTGCTTAGGTTAGTTTATCAAGAGCAATAATAATTTTATATGATATTTGCCTCTTAACTGTACCAGAATAGGAATGGAGGTCATTTTAAACAAAGTTGTAATATAATGAAATCCTCTTTACTTATAACCTAATTAGCAATGTTATTTAAGTGGCCAAGAGTATGTGGAAACTGGCCAGATTTCTGCATATTTTCTTCAGAATACTTAGAAACCTCTTTCACTGTTTCATAATATTTATAGGTTATGCAATACGGGTTTAGTAATACTATAGATAGTCAGATATATTAAATAACAACACAGAGATTACCAGAAAACTTACTTGTTGATGATATGGAGTATAGTATGATGTAATATATTTTTTTAAAAGGTTAGGTAAGAAGTTAAGTGGAAAAGTGTTGTCAGTCTCTTGCTCAGGATACTTAAAATCAAATTCTTAGGTAAATACACTCTTGTTACTATGTTAAGCACATCTTACTTGGCTTTCCTTAGAATTGCCACCTCTGATGTGATCTTTTAAAATGTTTCTTCCTCAAAAGTCTGCTCACTAAACAGATTTTCAGTTTGCACTACAGTGGTTATAAAACATGAATCCTTTTATTTTTTCGTTTTTAATTCCGTAATTAGATGCTTTAGGGCTTATATCTTTTGCCTCACCAATAAGGTAAGTGCCCAACTGATGAGGCTCTGTAGAAAACTTCCTGGCTTGCATTGATAAGCTTTCCCTATGTCATAGATGCTTACTACTAGAAAGCTATAGTCCCTGTGGTGAATGGCTTTTCTTTGTATTACAGTTGACACTTTGGTCACTGTTGAATTTAGACCTCAGTGATAGATGATAGTGTTTATTGTTTATCTCCTTAAATAAAATAGAGAAGTGAGGTTTTGCTTGTCTATTTTTTTCCAAAGCTATGAGGAAGAGGCATTGAATCTAGTTTACTGTTTTATTGGTGGGCTGTGTGAATTTATTTTTTGCCTTGAATTTTTGTGACCTCAGCTTATGTGATAGCTGACAAGCTTCAGTCCTGTGTCCTTAGTTCCAGTTTTCTATATAGTAAACCTAGGAATGCTGAACAACACTGAATGGCATAGGATACACTGGGGAAGGGGCAAAGGGTCTCTTTATTTACCCCAAAGACGAGATAGAGTTGGATGAGTAAGTTTTAGAGGGTTGAAGCAATAGAAATTGCAAGGTAAGATATGGGACCTTTGAGCAAACAGGAATCAACTAAAGGATGGAAAAAAATAGGCCCTAGTGTTTTACTCATTGGAAATGTTCCTTGGAGCCTATTGTATACATAACACTCAATCCTGTAGAGTGTCTCTAAGAAAGAAGTAGAGGATAGTTTCTGTAAAACATTGAATCATCTGGTTAAAGTAAAACTGGACAGAAACATTGTCAGGGCTTAGGGGAAGAGTGCTATCTTTACAATTCCATTAAGAGTGAAAATATCTTCCTATGTTTTGTTAAATATGTATTTTTCTGTTTAAATATACTTTAGGAAAAAACCCACTTTAAAAAAAATCACTGTTTTGATGAAAATACTTCTATGAAAACCTGAAGAGGGTTGGTGCCTATTCTTATGGTTGAAGATCCCTGCTTTTTAATGTAATGCACTAAGCTTACAAACATGAAAACATGTTTTGCCCCTTCTCTGAGTTGAGCTGGTCACTAGGAGGCAAATCCATGGACAGACAGTCCTGTTGTTTGAAAGCTGGTTTTGTGGAAAGTGATAAGTTGGTGGAGGTAGGCATGATTCTTCCATTACAGGCTGATATGTAACTTATTAAACTCTGGTGCTTTGTACATAGTAGGTGTTCAGAGTCTGAATTATTTTTTGAATGTCATTTTTTTAAAAAAAGATGAAACAAAGGATACATTTGTGTTTTCTTTGCCCCAATTTGTCTGTAATATCAGTTGGAGCAATAGTATAGTTCATTTCACTGTAATTTTTTTTTAATTGATTCTCTGTGGCAAATAATTGTGATATGGTTTGAGAGATGTTTAAGTCAGTGGATGAAATTGAGTTGTAAGTAATTTCTTGTTGGTACTGCTTCATATTTTTATGGTTAAATACAGACCTAATGCCTGGTCAAGGACAAAAGAGTTTTGTGTTAATGATAGTTTATTATTTTTAACCTCTAAAAATCACAAGATTCTTTTATTTTAATGGCCTGTGTATTAGTCCATTCTCATGCTGCTATAAAGAACTACCTGAGGCCGGACGCGGTGGCTCAAGCCTGTAATCCCAGCACTTTGGGAGGCCGAGGCGGGTGGATCACGAGGTCAAGAGATCGAGACCGTCCTGGTCAACATGGTGAAACCCCGTCTCTACTAAAACTACAAAACATTAGCTGGGCATGGTGGCACGTGCCTGTAATCCCAGCTACTCAGGAGGCTGAGGCAGGAGAATTGCCTGAACCCAGGAAGCGGAGGTTGCGGTGAGCCAAGATCACGCCATTGCACTCCAGCCTGGGTAACAAGAGTGAAACTCCGTCTCAAAAAAAAAAAAAAAAAGAACTACCTGAGACTTGGTAATTTATAAGAGCTGTGCAAAGCCATAAAGACACATAATCCTGTGAAAATTTGAGAGCTATGAGGTACTGGAAAAAGTATAATGTATGAAAGAAAAGTTGGGATGGAGGTAGGCTGTGGATGGATTGAAAAGTACCTTCTGTGCAGGTCTAAAAAAATAAAGACTTTATCCAGTAGGTAATGGGCAACACTTCAGACATTTTAAGAAAGGTAGTCATTTGAGAAGAAAGCACTTCGGAATCGCTCAGAATCAAACTCAAATCTCTACTTGTGTCATTTACTTACTAGTTGTATACCCTTGGACTTGGTGCTTAACATTTCAGAACTTCAGTTTTTGCATCTATGAAATGGGGATAATTTGGACTGAGAATACCCTGGATTATGAGTGACTTAATCATTCAGCAAACATTATTTATTGAGCACCTGTTATACATAATATCCATATAAATTCTACAGGGAAGGGATATATTGTAGGATGAACCTACAAATGTTAGAAAAGCTGGATGTTGAATCACAACCCTTCCAAAACTTAGCACATTTTCCTACTCACACCTATTCTTACTCTTGTGTTGTCTATCATTATAGTGGTACCCTAAGACAGAAGCTGGGAACTCTTATTATACCTTTTTTATACCCAACCAATTATCAAATCCAACCTGTTTTCCTTTTAAATATTCTTCGACCACATCTTCTTGTCTCTATCCCTATTGCCAAAGCCTTGGTTTGAGCCCTTACCTCTCATCTGGACTCTGCCATAGTTCACTTTTCTAATTCATTTCTTTTTCATCAGAAAGTTCTCATTTTAAATAATACCAGCCATGTGCTGAGCCCTTGCTGTCAAATGACTGCTGAGGCTCTACGTTATTATAATACGCTTTTGGTTTGTGGCTGTCAGGCCAGGAGTTGAAGGCTCACCCTCTCCTTTGTTGGTTACAAGCAAAGTATGTCAGTTCCAGCCTCCCTATGCCTTTCCTCACTAGTTGCCTCAGATCTGCATCTTTGTTCTTTCTTGTGCTGTCTTCTGACAGATGCTTTGGTCATTCTATTCATCTACTGTTTGCTGAAATCCAAAGCTTTTTATATTTCTATTAACGGTTAACCAGGTCACCCTAACTAGACTGTACACAGGTCAGACCCCCACATTTGTGTTAGGGGTATGTGACTACTCTTACGAGATTTGAAGCCTTTTTCCCTGCAAAAAAGATTTTAATAAGGTGTCTCTTTTCTCAACCCCCACAGAGGTACCTTTTATATTCACTTTGAAACTATCATTCAAATGAATCTACTCATGGTCTTTAACTTTTTTGCACTTCTACTCCAATAAGATGCTGTCTTACAGTGTGGGGGTTGCATTTTTTGTGTTTTCTTGTTCTGTCCATTTTATCCTCTTTTTGTTTATTTGGAATCTGACTATGAAGATAAGATGGACTTTGAGATCTACTTATAAGTACACAGGCTGAAGTTGAATATCTGTATCCCAGTACTTTACCACCATGCTACGTACATAATAGGTCACTTTTGTCACACATAGCTTCACCATCACACAGGTAGTAAGTTTCCTGTGCTGCTTTTCTTCTGAGCATGTGACAATTGGGAGTTGAGAAGAGCATGAACTCACCTATTTGCATTTTGTTTTTTGTGCTCTAGGTCAGGATGGCTAACTGGTTGGCTCCCCACATGGTGCCCTACATCTACACTACACCTTAAAGAAGCTGAAGAGAAGATGTTAAAATGTAAGGCTTTCTTCTTTTAAGTTACAATGAACTGTGTACTAAGATAGGTCCAATATATCTCGTTATCTCATTGCCCTGAAACTGAAGATAAGATTCTGTGGTGTGTTTATTGTTTGCAGCAGAACTATTTTCCTTTTCCATGTCATTAGCAAGTACAAAAATATTAGGGGCTCGTGGTTAGGAGTTCTAAAACTTTTTGGGCTTGGGCCCCTGTTACACTCTTAAATTAGAAAGGACCCCAGGGAGCTTTGTTTTTGGGCTTATTATCAATATTTATCATTTCTAATTCAATTAAAAATTAAAATTGAATAATAAAAAATGTTAATTTATTAATTAATTAAAAAAAAAGTAAAAAAACCATTACACGTTAAAATAAATAGTTTGTACCAAAAAACACAAAAAAAAATAGTTTTAAAAAATATGTAATGAGAAGAGTAACATTGTTTATATGTTTACAAATCTCTTTAATGTCTAGCTTGACATAAGGCTGCTAGATTGTCGTATCTGCTTCTGCTTTCAGTCTGTTGGGTAATCACATAGGTGACTTCTAGAAAACTCTACTGTATACCTATTAGAGAATGAGAGTGAAAAAGACAAAGTCTTAGTCTTGTAAGTGTTACGATGAAAATGGTTTTGACTTCCTGGATCTCCTCTAAGTCTCAGGGACAACCCCCCCCTCCGACTATGCTTGAGACTGTGCTTTGAGAACAGGTTCTAGGTGTTTCAGAGCAAGCAGCCTGTATGGTGGGAGAAATACTAGCCTGGACCCAAGTAACTTGGTCTAGGCCTAGATCTGCCACTGGTGGTTACGAGATCTTAGACAAGTCACTTTGCTCAGCTTCTCATTTCTTGTGAATTGAAGGGATAGGATGGTCCTTAGAATTCCTTCTAGTTCTAGCATTTTAGGATTCTGTATTTATAGTGGTGTGGAAGCCTTTTTTGTTTCCTTCTTATGAGCACTGAAATTTATCCAAACTTGTACCATCAGGACATTCCAAGGTATCTGTGGTTATAGTTCTAAGCAGTGGTATTTATTGTGCAATTTTGTTCTGCTGATACTATTTAAAGGAGTGGATTCAGTAGTGCAGTTCATATTTATGTGTTACTTTGTATGTGTGTGCAGATGTTTGTCTATGCCTGTTTTTCTTTTCTTTTTTTTTTTTTTGAGATGGAGTTTCGCTCTTGGTACCCAGGCTGGAGTGCAATGGTGCAATCTCAGCTCACTGCAACCTCCGCCTCCTGGGTTCAAGCAGTTCTCCTGCCTCAGCCTCTCAAGTAGCTGGGACTACAGGTGTGCGCCACCATGCCCAGCTACTTTTTATATTTTTAATAGAGACGGGGTTTTACCATGTTGACCAGGATGGTCTTGATCTCTTGACCTCGTGATCCACCTGCCTCGGCCTCCCAAAGTGCTGGGATTATAGGCATGAGTCACCATGCCCGGCCCCATGCCTGTTTTTCATTCTCTTTACCACTAATAAATTTGTTTGTGCATTTTAATGATTCAGGAGTAAGTGACCATAACTGGATATATCCTTAGGAAAGGATAATTAGCTGTCTTACATGGATTTTTTGGTTTTTTTTTTGAGGTGGAATCTTGCTCTGTCACCCAAGCTGGAGTGCAGTGGCATGATCTCGGCTCACTGCAACCTCTGCCTTGTGGGTTCAAGTGATTCTTCTGCCTCAGCCACTCAGGTAGCTGGGATTACAGGCATCCACCACCATGCCCAGCAAATTTTTGTATTTCTAGTAGAGACAGGATTTCACCATGTTGGCCTGACCTCAGGTGATCCACCCTCCTCAGCCTCCCAAAGTGCAGAGATTACAGGCGTGAGCTACCGTGCCTGGTCGTTACCTGGGTTTTTAACAAGAGAATGAACTTCTATTCTATATACTTTGGTAAACTTGCTCTCTACAAAACTGAAAAAGTTGTCATTGTGATTTACTAAAATAAAAAAATTCTTACCAGGAGATAAAAAGGGGTGCTAGATTCTCAATTCATGCATTTAACAAGCATGTTGATTCCCTACCTTTTGGTTCTAGGGATGCAAATAGGAGTGTGAATTAGTCTCTGCTTTAGTGTCAGACATGAAAGTAAGCTACTAATATAGTGGGATGAGTACTGTAATAGATGTTACAGATGGTTTTTATGGGAATATACAGATGTGTGTATTCAAAATGCTGAAGTGGTTTGGTTGGCATGTAAACCAAAGCATCCCCTTTTCTAAACTAGTGGCATTTCCCCCATCTTGAGGGCATGTGCTCTGTTTAATATTCTGAATGAATGTTAGGTTTCTTCTTTGCTGCCACTTTGTGGATACAAAACCCGAGATTATTTCTTTGGTTATAAGGCACAAACTCCTGTTTCTCCAGTGTTTTGTCTACCGCATATGAATATGCATAAATAATTAAGGAGTATATCTAAAGTGCAGCACTCAGTTAATAATTAAATGTAAATTAATTTTAAATTTAGTTTCATTGTTAAGCAATTTTTTGGAGTGTTTAAAGTATTTAGTCCCACAGCATTGAAGGTAAAAAAAGAGTTTTGATCTATAACATTGTGATTATTTGCTTTTCCTGAGAGATTGCTAGAGTTGGACTCAAATTACCAAGTGTGTCATACTGAGGAGTTCCTACAATAGTCTGTCAACTTTTTTTTTTTTACTAAACTTTGAAATGACTTAAGATTTCACTTACGTGTTTAATATAGATACCATTAATCCATTCCTAAATTCATGATTACTTTTTAAGGAAAAATAACGCCTTTGAGTCTGACTTCAACTCAAAGTTAACGAAAGAATACCACCTTGAAATTGTGGGACACTTGCAGTATTCTACAAATTGTCTGTAAAGCTAGAGACCTTAAAATAATGGATTCAGTAACCACTAAGTTCCTCACCACTTCTAGGAGTATAATACCCTCATTTGAAGTCAGAAGGTAATATGACTTGCCAAAGACCTTGACCACAGGTTACTTGAGGCTTGTCTGAGGTAGGCCCTCCCCCTTAGGTATAAAACACGGTCATTTAGAATTATTCAATAAAATATGTGCTTTTTAAAAATAGCTGACAATAAAGGCTAAAATCATGAGATTGGATACTAGATGGTTTGTATATTTTGGTTGCTCTGAGAATACTCTTCTCAGAAGTAATAAAATGAAACAGAATTTCCCTTTTATTTTTCATTAGGTGTCCCTTGCACATACAAAAAGGAACCTGTTTGTATATCTAATGGAAATAAAATATGGACACTGAAGTTCTCTCATAATATTTCAAATAAGACTCCGCTTGTCCTTCTTCATGGTTTTGGAGGAGGTCTTGGGCTTTGGGCACTGAACTTTGGAGATCTTTGCACCAACAGACCTGTCTATGCTTTTGACCTACTGGGTTTTGGACGAAGTAGTAGACCCAGGTTTGACAGTGACGCAGAAGAAGTGGAGAATCAGTTTGTGGAATCTATTGAAGAGTGGAGATGTGCCCTAAGATTGGACAAAATGATCTTGCTTGGGCACAACCTAGGTGGATTCTTGGCTGCTGCTTACTCACTGAAGTACCCATCAAGGTAAGTGATGGTGACAGAAGAGAGGGATTATAACTGTGCTTCCTAGTACCAGACTCTAGTTCCCATCTTTGGTGGTTGTTAATGTCTGAGCATTACAAGACAGATGTTCTCTTAAAGGACCCTATAGACCAAACCACAACTGATGACCAATATAGTAGCTGACATAATGATGTCAGATCTTCCTATTACACATGCTACACTTTAATAGGCTTGGGAAAGGACTTTCTGTTTGTTAAGCTTAGAATTGTAGAAACTTTAATGTATAATTTAAGCCACAAGTAAAAATAATTTTTTATTATTATTATCATTAAACCTGTGGATCCAGCAGGCTTTGGCTAATGTTTTCTAAGTTATAGTAAGGTGTAAGGGGAAACCAGAAGGTTAGAAGATCTAGGTGCTAGTGCTAGCTTTATGACTTAGAGCAAATCACTTACCCTCTAACCTTTAGTTTTCTTTTATCTAAACTATAGAAAATATAACTTCATAGTATATATCCCAGGGTTTTTTATTATACCATGCCCTAAGCTTTCTCATTATAAAACATAGAATTAATGAGTATTTGCCTCAAAGTCTTTCTAGCATCATCTTCTTTCTTTATCTTTTTTTTTTCTTCTAAGAGACGAATCCCACCTGTCACCCAGGATGGAGTGCAGTGGCGTGATCTTGGCTCACTGCAACCTCCACCTCCCGGGCCCAACCTCAGCCTCCCGAGTAGATGGGACTACAGGTTCATGCCACCACACACAGCTAATTTTTGTATTTTTAGTAGAGATGGGGTTTTGCCGTGTTGTTCAGGCTCATCTCGAACTCCTGCGCTCAGGTGATCCACCTGCCTTGGCCTCTCAAAGTGCTGAGATTACAGGTGTGAGCCACTGCACCCAGCCTCTTTACTTTATTTTTAAATGCTATTTTCTACTATTTGTGTTACTACTCTGAGAGAAGGTCGCATTTAAGTGCTGAGAAAATAGGAGAAAAATTCATTGTTGTTTTGCTCATCTTTTGGAAAGAAATAACAAAAAAGGAATACAGCATTTTTGTGTTGCCAATGTGTTTTTCCATTGGATTAACTGATTTTGACTTTGAGGTCTGTAAGTGAGACATGGGATGATGGTAATTTCAGAGTGCTGTGAAATTACCATCTTATTACATCTTATGTGCCTATAAGATCACCCCATTGTGTAACTCTAGGTGTGTGTTCAGCACAGAATTTGATGTGAGAAGCAGCAGCCCTGTGTACCTGAGGTTCTCTTCCTCTGGAACAGCCACTTTTTCTCTATAGAGTCTTTATCTAAACTTTAGCATTTACACCTGATTTTTCTGATCTCATAGTCCTATATGTGCTAGACGGTAACAGTCCTGTCAACTGGCTGACCTGTGTCTTTAAAAAGAAACCCAAATTTTCTTCTCCTGGTTGGCATTTTGGGGTTACTTTCTTTTATTGTGTCCTACTCTTAGTGACAAACACCTATCTGTATTTATGGTGAAAGGAGAAGGAAGTAGATGCTTTTCTGGTACAAGTCAACAGGGCTATTTGTGGGAGTTGAACTTGCTTTGTTTTTTGTCAGGTGTTTATTATGTTTGTGTCTGTCTTGTGGTATTTATTCTCTGGTGATGTGACACGGAACTCTGTAGGATAGACCTTGGTCATTAAGTGGTTAGTCTTAGAATCCTAACCCTTCATAGCTCTCTACCGATTAGGTCAGTTGGTAAGAGTTTCATTTGCAATTGTGAACTTCTCTAAAGGAATAGGGGGGCTTCAGGGATTCAGAAGGGAATCAACACTTTAAAAACATCTATAAATGAGAATAGCAAAAGGTATCTAAAAACAAAGCTAGCGATTGGTTTTTGAATGTTTGCATCTAATGCTAGAAACAAAACTAGAGTACTGTGTCAGGACCGAGAATAAGTTGTAGCAGTAGATGGATAAGAGCATGCTTGAAATAATTAGCCTGCCTAAATTTGGCTGGTTGCCAACAAAATTTTGAACTGTACAGATCATGTTCAATATTCAAGCTTATGTTCTTAACGGCATAAAACTTAAATTATTAAATACAGGTTAACGTCAAAATAATGTCTTCTGGATTTGCAAATATATCAAATCGTGATTATGTCCAGTCAGTCAGAACACCATGGTTGGCACATAATGGCTGCCTAGTAAATGTTTCTTGAATAGGTGATTTTGCGAAAGAGAATTATAAGCTAAGTTCAACTTTTAGCTTGCAATCGTATGTTCTTCTCTCTGTTCTTTTTCCATTTTGCATAGAAGTATCAAGAGATAGGAGCTGGTCATATCATACCTTTCTAATTTATTGTTGGGGGAAAAATTAGTTTCAGATATGCAAGCATAAGCAGGCAGATATTTCAATTTTATGCCTTTTGCCTAGTTAGTCTACATCTTAAGTTATTATAGCATAAAAACAACAGTGGAAATGAAGAGATCATTCTATATGTATGTGTGAGAGAAAGATATTAGTGAGAGTGTTTCTTCTAACATTTACATATATATAACATATGAATATTTTACAGAATTAAACAAATTGACCAGCCATTTAAACCAACAACTTTAGTTTAGAAGTGTGTTAAATCTACTAAATAAAAGTAAAATTTTATAGTTTGTTTTTTTCTTCCCATCCTAATAGACCAGATAATACCCCATTGTAGCACATAATATAGGAAGACCAAAATTAACAATCTCCCTAGCTTTTTTCCTTCATTGCTTTTCAGGATGGCTTCCCTGGAAGCCCTTCTCTTTAAATGGAGAGGACAGGGAAAAATGAGTATCTCTTGTGTTTTCTGCAAGGTGCATCATCTCCTTTGGTATCCTTGGGTCTTGCTATCCACATGTATATTCATATTACTAATAATGTTGCTTATGTTTGTTAATTTTTTACTTAAAAGGATTTTTTTTTTTCTGCTTGATCCTGGTTGGGCAAATTTGTACAAATTTACATAGATGATCTAATAGTTAATAGTTCAGTAGACTCACAGATCCAAACATTAAACAGGATTAAGCTGACCGAGTACTATAAGTGTTCACCATTATAGCAAACTTCATATTAAGTGAGGTTTAGTGTTTGGTGTTTCTTGAAGTTGGCATTCCCACTAAGCAGATGGGGTAGTTGTCAGCGTTGCTTTCTGTGTGATCTGGAATGTTTCACCTGAGCTAGAGAAGCTTCTTTGCAGCACATACACATTTTCTCTGGTGCAACAGAGCAATCTGCTTGGTATCAACAAGCAGGTACTGAACTGCCTACTCAGTGCCTCATCCAGCTTGTTTTTGATCCAGTAGCATTTTTATTATGCTGTCATGAGATTGAAATGAATCTTTGAGTTTCAGAAAGACTTTTGGTGGGATGTGGTGAGAGGAGGGAAAAAGTGGTCTGGAGATCAAGTGAAATTCAGATCATTGCTTACACTCACTGTGCCTCTTTTGTCTCTCTCTCTTTTTTCGATAATGGACTTTGAGAATGTCACCTTTTTTTTTCTCTTAGAGATGGAGTCTTACTCTGTTGCACAGTGCAGTGGCACAATCATGGCTCAGTGCAGCCTTGACCTCCTAGGCTCAGCAATCCTCCCATGTAGCTAGTACCACAGGTGTGCCACCATGCCTAGGTAACTTTTTAAATTTTGTGTGGAGATGGGGATCTCACTGTGTTACCCAGGCTGGCATCAAACTCCTGGCCTCAGATGATCCTCCTGCTTCCAGAATTGCTGGGATGAGCCACTGCGCCTGGCTGAGAATGTTACCTTTTCCTTTGCTTCCTCAGGTGTTGCAAATATAATTTTTATTTTTTTCTTTTAAGTAAAATGACGGCTCCTTACTTCTGTTTTATGCATGGAGGGAAAAAATACAAAAACAATGTTATTTTATTTGTTGGGACTTCGTGTTCTCTCTCATACCTATTTCAGTCCTTGTCAAAATTATGGGCAGCTGCATTTTTCCATTTGTTACTTTTATAGGACAGTTGAGGAGAAGGATGAAAATGTCTAGTTTAATGTGCCTGTTTAATCAGGATTCTTACTCTAAAGAACAAATAAAAGCTGATCAATTTTTGCCAACTTTTGGTACATTAGGTCAGTGTGGGTGGATCATTTCTGTGAGCAGCAAAGTGCTGCTGTCCAAAAAGGTCATCTTATAGCCTAACTTGTGGCAGTGGTTCCATATTTTCATCAGAAGTTGATGCTGATTAAAAACTGAATATTAAACAATTGTGATACTTTATGTAAAAGTACCTGGATGATTCTTCCATTGAAATATTGGTGGTTAATGAAATACTCTTAATATCATATTCCAGTAGGTTGGTTGTGTTCAAATAATACTGAGTGACTTTGTGTTTTGAGCCATTTTGTTTTAATCCTCTTCTTGACAAAATGTCTAAAGAGGCAGCTGAGCTCCAGTCACATTATAAATTTTAGCAGTTCTTTTAAAAACAGATGGTATTAACATACCTTAATTAAAATAATGACCCTGTGCTTCATCATGTCCTTTGTTCATTCATCATATATATGCCTGGTATAACCTTTGTGCTGGACTCTGTGGTGGGCAGTGGGGAACAAAGCTAGAATCCCTTTGTGTATAAGGCTTACAGTGTATTGGGGGAAGGTACACAAATTAAATAACCACACAAGTAGCATGACAGTTGTGTCAAATGCTGTAGCGGAAAGGTGGGTGGTGAACTCCTGAGAGAACTCTTGGTGAGAACCTGACCTAGTCTTGAGGTCTAGTATGGTACCTAAAGAAGTGTAGCTTGGGCTGAGGTCTCAAAGGGGAATAGCAGGTAACAGAAGTGCATTCTAGGCAGTGGGACAGAAATTGTGAAGGCCGTATGCTAGGCAGATGCCGGGGCCATTCTGGAAGGGCAGATGGCTGGTGAGCAGAGAAGTTATGAACTGATTAGTAGATGACTCTAAATGAAGGCATATCCCCCATGCTTCTTCCCAAAAAATAACTTTAGTTCATCTCAATTCTCTTGCCACAATGTCTAATAATTAGATATGCCATCTATAATTTCTTTAGTAGATTAATATGTAGGATCGCTCACTGTGTGAGGTATCTTGGGCTACCATTCTGTAAAACCTTCTGTTCATAAGGAAGTCATAAGGAAGAGTAAAGCAGTAATAGCCATGTATACTATTACCTTTCTTTCATATATCTGCCCAGTTTTTTCTTTTTCTTTTTTTTTCTTGAGACAGAGTCTTGCTCTGCAGCCCAGAGCTGGAGTGCAGTGGTATGATCTCGACTCACTGCAACCTCCGCCTTCCGGGTTTAAGTGATTCTCCTGCCTCAGCCTCCCTAGTAGCTGGGATTACAGGCACCTGCCATCACACCTGGCTAATTTTTGTATTTTTAGTAGAGGTGGAGTTTTGCCATGTTGGCCAGGCTGGTCTTGAACTCCTGACTTCAGGTGATCCACCCTCCTCAGCCTCCCAAAGTGCTGGGATTACAGGCATGAGCCACTGCACCCAGCCCAATTTTCTCTCTTAATTTTCCTTTCCTTCTGGTCCCTGCTGCCCAGGACCCCATACAAACACTGTGTTTTGAAGATATTTGTTATAAACTAAGGAAAATGAGATTCTAGTAACTTTAACTTAGAAAGTGTTTAGCAAAGAGATCTATTCCAAGTAGGATAGGTTATGACTAGTCTTTATTTCTCTTGCAAAAGGTTTTTAGATAATTTTATCTTGAACACTTTTCTTTTGCCTGGCTCTGTCTTCTGATTGTACAGAACTGAGCTGAGCAATTTTTGTTGGCCCCCCTGCTGTTCTAGGAAAAGCTGTTCTACTTGAAGTTGGAGGTATTTAGTTTGTTGTTCTCTGACCCTTCCCTTTTCTCCCTCCAGTGGCTTGGAGCCAATGGGAAATACCTTGGGCTACCTTCATTTTGCAAATGCCTCCTTTGTGCATTGACTAGAATTCTTTCTGATCATTTTTTTAAGACTCCCTTATACATTTTGGTTCTAGGTCTGATTTTCCTGAGACATTGTCTCGCTCTGTTGCCCAGGCTGGAGTTCAGTGTCACGATCTGGGCTCACTGCAACCTCTGTCTCCTGGGTTCAAGTGATTTTCGTGCCTCAGCCTTCTGAGTAGTTGGGATTACAGGTTGCACCACCATGCCCTGCTAATTTTTTGTATTTTTAGTAGAGACAGAGTTTTGACTTGTTGGCCAGGCTGATCTCGAACTCCTGGCAAGAAGTGATCCACTTGCCTCAGCCTCCCAAAGTGTTGGGTTTACAGGTGTGAGCCACCAGGCCTGGCCTGATGATTGTTCTTATTGCAGTATTTCTGACTGGTGGTTGTCTGTAAATCCCATTGAAGGTCAGGCTTATCTACCCTTGTTAGCATTTAGACCAAGTGAAATCAGGTACCAGTGTGTTGGTGCAGGTGTTGTCCACTGCTTTGCCCTTAAGGATATAATCTGCTCACCATCTTCAAACTCAAGGCCAATTCTAATGACTAACATTAGAAAGAATGCCTTTTTATATTTCAAAACTGATGCATTGTTCTGTTGTTCTTGCTCTGCTGATTCTTTGTTTTTCCTGTGGTTTAAACCAGTCTCTGGTTCATGACAAGGATGTCTAATAGGATGACTCACATGTGCTGTCTGGTTGGACCCATTCTTTACCCTAGATGTGAACTAACAATCCCAGCAGGGAGCTTTCTCTGGAATATAAAAGAGTGGGGTTTAGATAAATTATAATAGTTCAGATGTACATTAAAACCAGTAACTCCTATCAAGTGAGGAGATAATATTTTTACTAAAAGAGGAGGTTAGAAGATAGCCTGGGACCTTGGTCTGGTGTAATATTATAGTAACCAGTGATCAGGCTCTTCTGAAGAATAAAAGCCTGTCTTTCCATCTTCCCTGGAATTAATTCTACTCTTGTAGTCTTCCTATTCACCCTACTGTAACTAGCTTACATTTACTGAATACTTGGCATTTGATAGCCACCAATCTGAGTGCTTTGCATGGTCTATCTTATTTAAAATCTTTACAACCAAAAATAAGGAAAATTATTTTCTGGGGTCTTTACATGTAGAAGCAGATGATATATAACTACAGTTAACTACAGTTTAGATGTTGTAGAGTTTTAAAAAACTGTGTTCAAACTTTTTTGACTATGGCCCTTCTGTATTGTTTGGAATAGAAAAATTTAAGTGTATCACCCCACAAAACTTGTTTCAGACACCCACGCATACATATATTAATACAATTTTGTGGCCAATATTCAATGCTTATGATTTATTTTTCTATTCCAAACAATATAATTTTATTTAAAAAAAAAAACTAGACTGGTTCTTGACCACCTAAATGGATTTTATTACCCAATAATGAGATTAATAAATAGCAGTGATGTTCTGATGTCATCTAGAAATAGTTAGCTGGATATGCTTATGCTATGATTATGCTTTATAAAATTTGTATATCCTTAATAGACTAGGACCAAAAGAAAATGTAGAAAAGCATATTAACCCAAATGTTTACCAAGCATCTGCCATGTGCTAAGCATCATGCTAGGTTATGAAGACAGAATTGAGCAATTGTAGGGACAGTTTGCTCCTTTTCAAAAAGAAACAAAAGAGGTCATCTGCCTTAGTATATATACTTTGCATAATTTGTTAAACTGACATTTTCACCTAGGGATTAAATTTTGAAGATCATATTTTAAAGGCAAGCCAGAACTAAGGCAAAAACAGTCACTTACCTAGAGATAGATGAGACTTCCGTCAAGTTTTTCTTTGTCCTCCTTGTTTTTGAGTTAGCAGGTCAGAAAGAGCCTAGAGCAGACTGAGCAAGATTCATTAACAAATTTATGACAAAAATTTAACACTTGCTTAGGGTAGGGTATGTTTTAATAAAGAGTTCATTTTTTTCCTTAGGAGGTAAGTCAATAGTGAAAAATAGTGACTGTTTCTTAACATGAATCTTTGCTGCTTTCAACTAGGTGTCTGTCTTGTTAGTTCCACTCATACCTCTGTTAGGCCTCTCCCTTCCCCTTCCCCTTCCCCAGATCTTATTGTGGGCTGTAATAGAAGGAATTCAGGAGGTGGTCAAAATATAAGAGATAGTTTTTGCCATTAAAAAACAAAGCAAAACACTCATTTCCAACCTCTTTCTGATATGCTGTTATAAAATATTCTCATATGAAATTTTTAGACTGTGAAGGTATACTTCATAATTATATGAAACTCATTTATCACATATCTTCATACATCTTTATGACTATATTCTACCTATGTTCTCAGCGCTATGAAATATAGAATATAGTATTAGGACTGGCCTTGAGAGTTGATAAAGGTTAAGTTTTACCTTTACTAATACATCTATGTTGATTAGCCTATGTTTAGAAAATTGCTTATTGGCATCTGTTAGCATGCTGGAGTAGAGAAATGTGGGTTTCAGCCTTAGTTCTACATGAACTAATGTTATATACCAGAGCAGGCCACATAGTATATCTTAGCTTCCTTCTGGTCTGAGATGAAAGATTGGACCCAGTATTCCCCAAGGAATCATAGAGCTCTGTGCTCTCAAGCTTTCTGTGTTTAAAAAAAAAAAGCAATCAGAGTATGGACCTGTTACTAACTCATTATGTATACTGACAACAATAATTGAATAGATTTTATATGAGGAATAATACCATCTGTGCCCATGTTTTCGTTTCTTTGCCTTTCTGTTTCAGTTATAACTTAGGAAAAGACTTTAGAATCATTGTCAGTTTATCCTTGGGAGATTTTTTAGCTGGCATTTCTTGGCTGGTTTGGTTACAGCTGAACATTGTTTTGTGTCAGAAGGATCTTTGTACTTCGTTTAGAACCTTTATGAAGTATAAAGCATGATGCAGCTACGTGGAAGTACTGCTGATAGTTCTGGTTTTCCTTCAGTGGGAAGAAGTTTCATAAGATGGAAATATTAAAATTATTAACAATATGAAATAATTTTATATGAAGTGGTACTGAAGATTTTCTATCTCTTGGTCAATGAAGAAGAAAATTGGGGAAGAATTGGGAACAGAATCTAATGTCAGTATAGCGTGATACCATGGGTAAGGTAGACAGACATGTTCCTTTTCAACAATTCTAGAATCCCAAAATAGGGAGTATTTTCAGTCCACCTTACGTTATCTTTGTGTTTATGAAAAGTTCATTTAAAGCACTTTTGAACCCACTTTAAATCCTTAACTTCTCTTAAATTTTTAGGATGTTTGATTCATGGGAGATGATGATTTTTGGTATATGAGGCTATTTTATAAGAATGTGATAGTGATCTTGAGCCATTTTTGCTTTGTCAACCTTGACATACATAGAGTCTTTGGATTTTTCTGAGTGGCTAGTGATCTACATAAGTTTACACAGAATAAGAGCATGATGTGACTCTTTAGCCACTAGTCTTTAACGTGAAGGTTTTTGAAGGTGGTTTACTCTACCTTTATTTTATAAATCATGTTAGCTCTTTATAGTCTTAGGGTGATTTTACCAAATGAACTTAAATCTGTTCTTTCCCCCAACAGGGTTAATCATCTCATTTTAGTGGAGCCTTGGGGTTTCCCTGAACGACCAGACCTTGCTGATCAAGACAGACCAATTCCAGTTTGGATCAGAGCCTTGGGAGCAATATTGACTCCCTTTAACCCTTTAGCTGGCCTAAGGATTGCAGGACCCTTTGGTGAGTGCTTATGTACTAAGAAAGCAAAATGTTTATAGATTATCAGTAGAGGAGTATTCACTATCATTAGTCAAAATCTTAAAAACAAACAAGACTGAACCCTTTTTATCCTCTTCCTTTAATAAGTACCATGTCTTGCACAAAGAGGATTGTAACTAGGCTTTTCTCCTCAAAGGGGAGTCTTTATATTGAAACATTATAAGTAATTAGTAAAGCGAGAAGGAGGGGAATGCTGAGGATGCCCTTAGTCAGTCCTGAATACTCTGAAAAAAGCCAGGCAAGCAGAGTGTTTTGGGGAGTATATAAGGAGCTCTGCTAGCCCAGCACCTGGGAGAAGTGTAGCATGTTACCCTGCTGGTGAGCATTGGAGAGCATTTGGCCAATTGATGATACCATTTGGTAGATCCCCTGGGGATAAAAGATACCACCATACTCACAGATTTCCCTTATCCAGAATGTTGGAAAGATATTTTTTCCACAACATTTTGGAGACTCCTGATACATATTTCTGGTCATATTTTGAGGTACCAGTGTTTAGTTCCTGATTGACTTTTATTTCACTCTCAGCTGCTCTGTCTAGCCCCATAGCCATGGGAATTTCCTTCCCTCACTGTCACAGATAATGATGGTTTGACCCTCGGCCTTTCCCCCGTACAACTTGTATGAGTTTGGAGTACTTTTAGTTGTAAGTAATTGAATACCCAGTGGCTTAAATTTAAGGCTTTTTATTATTTCCCTAAGAAGCAATCTGGAGATAGGTTTTAGCACTTGTTCTAGTTGTTTGCTCATTGATGTTAAGGTTTGGGTCTGTGTCTGTGATTTTCTTGACCTTTTTCCTCATGGGGTTTGATGCCTGCCATGGCATTAAGCACCATCTCACAAAACAGCATCCTGAGCAAAAAGAAGGAATAGCATGGAAAATGGTCCTTCTCTCCATAATGCTTTGTCAGGGAAGAAAATTCTCCCTGGAAGGCCCCAGCCGACCTCCCATTATGTCTCTGTACACTCCTAGTCCTTCCACCAGCAAAGAAGAAATTTCTATGACTAATCAGTCATGATTTGTTCCCAGGGCCTGCTTTCCTGGGCACATTGCTGCCTAATTGATACTACAGAAAAGATGGGTTCTAGCCAGCTGCCATGGCCCACACCTGTAATCCCAGCACTTTGGGAGGCTGAGGTTGGCAGATCACTTGAGGCCAGGCTTCAAGACTAGCCTGACCAACATGGCAAACCCCGTCTCTACTAAAAATATAAAATGATTAGCTAGGCGTGGTAACACACACCTGTAATCGCAGCTACTGGGGAGGCTGAGGCATGAGAATTGCTCAAACCTGGGAGGTGGAGGTTGTGGTGAGCTGAGAGCGCACCACTGTACTCCAGCCTGGGCAACAGAGCAAGACCCTGTCTCAGGAAAAAAAAAAAAAAAATGGGTTCTGTTAGAAAAAAAGAGAAGAGGCATGGGGGTGTGGATGAGGGTATGGGATTAACTGTCATGCAGGTGACTATAAATTCTGTTCTCCTTTGCCCAGCCCTGGCCCCTTTTGGTCCTAGTGCCTTCTCTTTGGATTGGGAGAGCAGTGGAACTGCAGGACTTAGAGCAGGGTAGGGGGGTTGAATTGGTGACCACACTTTACTGCCTCAGCAGATGGCACATTTTGCCTACCTGAAGTCTTTCAGCCCTCCCCAGTAGAGCCACTCCTTATATGCCTGGTCCTCCTCTGGTAAACTACTTAAGAGCTTCATTTAGTCTTTATAGTCTTGAAATATAAATGGATTTTACTAGATCACAGGCACACAAATAACAATTATGGGAAAAGTAAAGTATGAAGAGAAATTAGGAGACAGTGATGGGCAAGGGAGGACACCTAGGAGAGGCTCTTTAAAGCCATGCCCTCAGCCTCCCATTATTGCTTGCACTTGAGGGTGGGGCGATGATACAGAATCAACTGCATGACAGAATTTCTTGGTGGAGCTGTATAATTCCTCAGAGATGGGATTAAAGGGCAAGTAGAGAAGTAAAGCCTTGCTGGAGTCATGGGGTAGTGGCAGCAGAAAGGGAGACCAGTCAGTCTCTGCGGCCTCAGAATGAAAAATTGTGACTAGAAGAAAGCTTCTGCTCTTCATCCTCTTTCCCTTGGGGGCTTTGCCCTGGACTTTTTCTAGAGTGGGGTTGTGGGTGCCACCATGGATGACCATAGCAGGGAGTCTTCCTAGTGTCCCAAGAAGAAACTGAATGTATTTTCATACAGAAAAGTTTATATATACCAATTTACTTCATTTAGATGCTAATGTGTTATAATTATGGAAGAAATACAAGTTAATACATTAATTTTATGTATGAGCTACTCGTTGGCCTTCTAACGTAAATGTTTTTGAGGCCCTAAAGCACATCTGTAAGTCAAAATACGATACTCTTTAATTTTTATATTAATATTTCCTTGGGGAACTTGAGGAGGACAGCTATCAGAATGTGTGCTTTTTCCCACCTGCAATATATATTTATAGGTATGTGTGCACATAACATTCATTACACAGGCAAGCACTAAAACTCTATATTATTTAGTTGATAAGTTAATTATAATTTAAAACATACATTTTTTAATTTCCTGTTAAATAGGTTTAAGTCTAGTGCAGCGTTTAAGGCCTGATTTCAAACGGAAGTATTCTTCAATGTTTGAGGACGATACTGTGACAGAATACATCTACCACTGTAATGTGCAGACTCCAAGGTGAGGGTTAGGAGTGTAAATTTACCGTGTGTGTGTGTGTGTGTGTGTGTGTGTGTTTTATACTATTTTTTTTGAAAATATATCAGTGTTTCAGAAGATTTTTATCAGTAGTTAAATGAATTTAAAAGGACAAAATGTCTAATATGTCTTAATTTATTCATCTATTCTTAGAGTACCTCCTGTATAAAAAAATGTGCTGAGTTCTGATGGGAGATTAAAAAGTAAGATGTTCACGCTTCCCCCCAAATTCTTATGAATAAGTTAAGGAAGCATTGGTCTTGGGCATCTCCAGGAGATGGTTTGAGTTGAGAGTTAAGGAATTTCACATTTAAAGAAGTATTTCCCAAACTGAATATAAATGTTCCATCAAAAAAAAGAGAGAGAGAGAGAGAGAAAAGGGTGCTGGATTAAACAAAAGTAAGTGGTTGTCTTTACTATTAATTCTCTTATAACCTTTACTACACTGAAGGGTATTGAATCTCCCAAGTGAATGGGAGATCCTGTATAGTATTTTTCAAGTTAATTTGATGGTTGTACTCCTGAACAACTCTAAACATCTGTAGGTCTGCATTAGAAATGCAGCTGTAGAGGGTGAGGAGTAAGTGAAGGATTCTGCCTGTATTTTGACAGTGATTAGAAGGAGAGAAAGAGAATGGAGCATAGTAGCCAGAGGGAGCAAGAGGGCCAAATGTATTTTTTTTTAAATATGACTTATGAATGTTGGGTGAAAAGTACCAGTGGAGAAAACAGAGCCTGACGACAGTGGAGAGCTAGGAGGAGGCTGAATTTAAGGCCCTAAAGTTTCTAGGAGGAGCATCAAGAATAGAGTGCAAAGATGAGGGCCACAGTTCCCATGCTATGTTGTATACTGGAATTATTGGGGGTGCTTGTTAAAATGTGACTCCTGAGGCTTATTTCTAAGACTCAGATTAGCATTTCTGGGTTGCATCTCTAACAAATACTCTGGTGATTCTGTATAGGTGGGCCATGGAGCATACATGAAGACAGAGAAGTGATATCTCATTCTTTCTAAGACCTGAGGTTTGGATGAAAGGCTAAGAGGCAAGATGCAGAGACAGCCTCCCTCCCTTTTATTTCCTCCCTCACTTTGGCAGAAAATATGTACACCTACTTTATTAAAAAGATTGAGGCCATGGCAGCTATTTATAGGTGTAGCTGTAGTCTCAGTCTTTTTAATAAAGTAGGTTAGAGGTTCTCTGCCAAGAGTTAGGGAGGCTGGAGGTTCAAGGTCCTCAAGAGATTGAGGTTTTGTGACTTGCTAGACAGTCAGGTCTGGTGGATTCGGTCTACACACTTTATTGATTTGTTTCAACAGTTTTGTTTTAGGGGTCTGCCCCAGGAACCTCATTCAATTTCCTGATCGGTCTAAGTTTTACTCTTCATGTGCTCTCATTTCATGATTACATGTGTTCGTGTAGTCCTAGTTTGTTACCTTTCTTGTGGTGAGACTTGAATTCTTCATAAAAGGCAAATTAGAATGATGTCTAGTTCTATAAGAATAGTGGAGCAACAGCAAAATAGACCTATCCTGAGAGTTCCCAAGAATACATCATCTGAGTTTCTTCTTAACTTGATAATGGTTTTGGCATTGCAGGTGAAATGCTGGTGCCATGAACCTGGGGATAAGCTACCTTCTTTCTACATCAGTTTAAGTAAGGGTGAAAAAACATATTTTTAGCTGCTATCTCCACAGTAAATAATAATGGAGAATTGGGGTTGTACATTTTGATTTAGAAGAAAACTTAGTTAGTTCATACAGCAGCCTTGCTTATCTAACTTGTTCCTTAAACTGTCTTGTAAATTATTTTCTATTTAAGCTGAGGGTTTTCTTAAGTGCTGGAAAAGCTAAGTATGAATGTGTTTTGATAGAAGTGACAGTGCAATGCATACTCATTCCCAAAAATCATACATTGTGATTTTTCCTTGTCATTAAAGTGGTGAGACAGCTTTCAAGAATATGACTATTCCTTATGGATGGGCAAAAAGGCCAATGCTCCAGCGAATTGGTAAAATGCACCCTGACATTCCAGTTTCAGTGATCTTTGGCGCCCGATCCTGCATAGATGGCAATTCTGGCACCAGCATCCAGTCATTACGACCACATTCATATGTGAAGACAATAGTAAGTGTGTGGCTTGATTTGGTTTTTTAGATATAGGTGAAGTCTGTTTTATTATCTTTCTTAAAAGAGATTTTTAGGTCATCCTCGTGTTGCAGGTCAACTGAGCTATACTTGCAACCTCAGTCGGGGTATATGTGATGGATGCAGTGTTTGGCCTGCGCACATCTTCATGTACAAACAGTGAACCACCTTTCTGAGTGAACTCCTGTCCCTAGAACCACAGCATTAGGAGAGATGGACAGAGGTACTGGTCTAGTAGCTCAGGTAATTCCCACCTCGCAAGGCAGCACACTCTCACTTTTTTTAGTTTCTCTGTTGGCCATTTATTTGTGGTCAATTTAGTGTTTTTTGCATATTAAAATTGTACTAAGATTCAGTAGATTTTTCTATTCTCAGATCCTTTTAATGGAAATACTTAACATTTACTATAGATTATTACTTTTTATCATGTGTTTTATTTAAACATAGTGGCTCTCACTTTTATTACTAAGTATCTTTGAGTATATATCATTGTGTTTTATTAAATGCTTTTACTCACTAACCATCTGAATACTTTTTCTTATCCAGGCTATTCTTGGGGCAGGACATTATGTATATGCAGATCAACCAGAAGAATTCAACCAGAAAGTAAAGGAGATCTGCGACACTGTGGACTGAACACGCTAAAGCTCTTATGGGAAAACCTGGTGACTGATACAATTGTTCAGCAATAATGCATAGTCTATGCTGAAGAATAATGAATACAACACAAGAACCAGACAGCCTTCTTGATTATACTTTGCACGTGTTTTCTTTATGAACTCACTCGCACATTTAAACCAGTTAGTGCCTTCTAGAAGAATGGCTTTCCTTTCTCCTACACAAAATTGAAATATACAAGCCTCTAAATTTAATACCTTCAAATAAAAGGTTATTTGTCCCTCTGATGTACTGAAAAACTAATTTTTCAGCTGAAAATTTTTTAATCTAACTTTGCTAGTCAGATACTTTCTATATTGCAATCTATATTGCCAATTTAGGAAGTGATTTCCGAGTCTCTTGTTATACTGTAAAGGTGCACTTTATTTTGTCTTCTTAATCATGTATTTATGGTGTCTAATAACTGATAATCTGAATTCAATGTGTTTTTATGTCAAAATTTGTCAGTTGTTTAGAATATTTCACTTTGTTTTTGAAATGAAGTGACAAGACAGATTTTTGGTTAAAGGATGGGAGTTGATCACTAGCATAACTTTTTCGGGTTTTCCTCCTTTTTATATTTAAGGCTGCTAAGCCATGTTCAGCATCTTAAATGTGGACTATCCTGACATACAGTGTATAACAACATAGCTCCTTGGAACCTTCTATATGTGGTATAATTCTACACTTCCAAGGAACATGACTTCAATAATTCAGCGATTCATGTACTGAAAAGCCTCAACTAAAAGGCTGTCCTTTGTTTCCCCCTTTAATACTATTATTTTCTACTTTGATGCAGCAAGTGGAACAAATTTCTTCACTTAAGGGGTTATTAAGACTGTTACTTCCTATTAAGCCAAGTAATTTATTTTTGTTAACATCTAACTTTCATAGATTGGTGCTAAAACTGTATACATTTAATCACTAAAATATAAAAACAAGTGGTGCTGTTATGTCTTATGGCACCAGAAATGAGCTAGCCCTTGGGTTTTTTGTTTGTTTGTTTGTTTTTTGTTTTTTGTTTTGAGACGGAGCCTTACTCTGTTGCCCAGGATGGAGTGCAGTGGCACGATTTTGGCTCACTGCAACCTCCGCCTCCCAGGTTCAAGCAATTCTCCTGCCTTAGCCTCCTGAGTAGCTGGGATTACAGGTGCATGCCACCATGCCCAGCTAAGTTTTGTATTTTTAGTAGAAACAGGGTTTCACCATGTTGGCCAGGCTGGTTTCGAACTTCTGAACTTGTGATCTGCCTGCCTTGGCCTCCCAAAGTGCTGGGATTACAGGTGTTAGCCACTGTGTCTAGCCTTAGCACTTGGGTTTGTTGTTGTTTTATTAAGAGTATTGTATTAATTAAATCATTACATATTTGAAGTTATATTACAAAAATGCTAAAAGATTGATTGAACTTTTTTTTTGGAAATGCAATCAAGTGTACATTTTTTTGCAGTTTTAAAATGAGGAAAACTTTTTTGAAACTGTGAAAAAGCTCCATGTGGTAACTGGCTGCTGAGAAAACCCTTCACTAAATAAATAAATAAAAACTGAATAGGATTGTCACCAACAAGGCATCTTTGGCTAACGTTTCTTGTCTAGGAGAAAGGTAGCTATGTAAATAAATAACAATGAACTAGAGCAAATAATGGTTTAATGGTTTTGGTTATTGCATTTTTAAAATGGTTAATTAGGGAATTTGTAGTTGTTAGGAAATGTAAGGTTTTATCACTGTTGATTAACTGCCAGAAAGACTGAATGTTCTATTTTCAACATTTCTCGCCTACTAAAGAATAAGCAAATTATACTGAAGCACAGTATAAACATTTTCCCAATGAACAATTTGTCTCACTTGTCAGATTAGGTTAGTGCAAGAAGGCAACATGAGAATCATGATGTGTTGTCTGATTTCTCTAAGTTAAGAACAATAATAGTCTTTTTAGTTAGTATCTTAGATGGCCAGGTTTCAAACCTGTATGTGGTACAAATAATTTGGGTAATATTTTTGTATTTTTGTTTTATATACTCTCTAATCTCAATTATCCTTTGCTGGGAGAATGACAGGTTTCACTTACACAGGAAGCTTTTTGTGCAGGAATCTTTGTCCCAGCCCTTGGAGGGAAGAAGTTCCTTGGTTTACTTAGTAAATAGAGTTTCTGGCCACAGATGTGCCAAGTGATTCAAGAAAAAGATATGCCCAAATATAAAGTGAAACTTAATCTTCCTGCAAACTGAATTGGATTTATTTGAAAGATGTTACAACTCTTTTTAAAGTTAGATTTTACCCTGAGGTGTAGTATGTGTAATTTTATGAAGATTGAACTAGAAGAGAAGTTCACAATCTTCACATTTTAAATAATACAGTGGGTGCTAAATGTTTTCTTAAAAATCTATTACAGCGTTTGATCTTTGCTTACTTATGCACAGTGTGCTTTTATTTTATGGAATAAATTTTACTGTGATAGCCAAAACAAGACAGCTGTATATTTTCTTGGGTCTTTTATATGGACCAGTCTCTGTTTAATAGTTAACTACAGGACCATGGACCCAGTGAATATTCAGTAAATGCTGCTGTTGTTATTAGGGAAGTCTTCTCTGGGTGTTGTAGCCACCATACATAGCTTTACCTGTGTCTGTGCATTTCCTTAAGATAACTTCTGTTTTATATTTTTTCTTCTAAGACTAATTTTCCAAAAAAAAAAAAAAATTGCTTAGGATTGGTTGTAGTATATTATTTGGAGAACACTTTTGAAATGCTTCATTCGTACGGATAATATATATTTAAAGGGCCATACCAGATTTCAATAAAGCAAGAAGTTTTTTTTATACCAAGGTACTGGAAGGAATAAACAAAAATAACCAGAAGGTACTAGAAAAAAACAGTGTGGAAGGAGGGATAACCTTATTAAATATTATAACATACTGTTGATAATATGAGAAAGTCTAGCAATTTTATCTATGATAAAAGAAGCATCTCATTCATAGAGAAAAAGGCTTTAAAAATGGTGTTGAGACAAGTGTGGTTAACCATCTGGAAAAGAAATGAAATCGAATCAATTTTTCAGAGTACACAGGATAAAATCTGAATAGATCAAAGACCCAATTTTAAAAATGAAAACCCCTAACTGGAAGAAAACATAGATTAATTATTGTATAATCTGACAGTGAAAAAAACTTTTCTAGGACTGAAAATTCAACAGCAATAAAAAGAAAAAATTATATATTTAACTAAAAAGAATTTTCAGCCAGATGCAGTGGTTCATGCCTGTAATCCCAGCAATTTTGGGAGGCTGAGGCAGAAGGACTGCTTGAGACCAGGAATTCAAAACCAACCTGGGCAACCTAGTAAAACTGGCTCTACAAAAAAAAAAAAAAAGTCCTGGGCTGGGTCCCACCTACTTGGGAGGCTGAAGTGGGAGGACTGTTTGAGCCCAGGAGTTTGAGGATACAGTAAACAAGCCACTGCACTCCAGCCTGGGTGACAGAGAAGAAGACAAACTTTTTTGGATAGCTGAAAATATTTGCAGCCTTTATCGCAAGGGGCTAATTGTAGCCCTATATATGAAGAATTTTAAACTTTGAGAGGAACCTGAAGAATAGGCAAAAAGATATGAACAGACAGTTCACAGAAAATAAAATGCAAATGACCTTTAAACATACGAGGATATGCATAAACAGGCAAATGCAAAATAAAATAAAATAATGGAAATACCTTTCTTACCTGTCATATTGGGGAAAATCCAAGTTAGACAATGCAGTCTGTTGAGACAGTAGGGAAACAAGCACTCTTAAAAAGTACATATCCCTGTGGTTGGTATTTGTTAATAACCAGCAAAATTGAATGAGTATATCCTTCAACCTGACAGACCCACTTCGAAGAATATGAGATGCACTTTCAAGAATATAAAATGGTATTTGCACAAAGATCTTGATTACAGCACAATTTCTAACAGCTACAGAAGCCAACCAAATCTCCACTGATAGGGAATTGATGGAAGAAACTAGGGTGTATCTATACAATGGAGTACTGCACAGCTGTAGAAAGGACTGTGAACTATTTTTGTAGTTCTAATCTGGAGAAATCCCCAGTATATAGGAAATGAAAAATGTAAATTACAGAACAGAATGTATGGTGTGCTATCTGTTGTATAACAAAGAGACAAATGGAAAAAAATATAGGTATTTGCTTTTTTTGTAAAGCAATAGAAGGATTAGTTATACCAGTAACTAATAAAATGATCCCCTTATTAGTGGTGGTAGGGAGCTATACAAGGATGGCAACTATTTCTGTATCTTGTGTACCTTTTACTTTGAGGCCTTGTCAATGTTTTGTATAATAAACATTTTTTGAAAAAGCAACTCTTAAAACTAAAACAGACTTAACAGTCTGTCAAGTTGATGGTATAGCCCCACCGAAGAATTACTTCAAGTGACTTGAACGCCTAGTATTTTGTCTGTACTTTGCTAATGGAATATACACTACAGACCAAACAACTACAAATAAATCTTAAACTGCATTCAATAGTTTTATTTTTATCAATGATATTGGTAGTGTCATTTGGGTATTTATATGTGATAAAGAAAATATTTACTTGTGTCACTGGAATCAAGAGCCAAGATTTTTAGCAGAAGAGAAAAGAGACACAATACAATCAATAATCATGTGATTTATTTTTATTTCTGGAAAATACATGTTGCATAGCTTTGTTCACTGAAAAGGCCTAGAAATAATCATAGCTCAATAGTAAGGCCCACCCTTGCCACCCAGACTGTCCCACTGAAAGGGGGCAGAGAAAGGACAGATGAGTCTGAAATACTTTGTGTCAGAAAGCAGGGAAGCAATCAGAGTAAGGTCGTGTCAAAAGGACCCAGGAGCTAACTAACTTGAAAGGATTGCCATTGACCAAAGATGGGTTAGTGTGAGCATCAGAAAGAGTATATTTTGAAACATGATATATATAAAACGGCCCTGAGATCTTAATGCTATTTTAAAAACTAATTGGTCACCTTTGGAGGTTACTAGGGTGCCAATTCAATATTTTGAAAATTGCTCATGGGTAAAGTGAATCATTTATCCCAACTTCTTTCGATAAGGGAAAATTCTTCATGTAAGAATCAGGTAAATACAAGAGGAATGATAAGATTAGGAAATTACCATTTTGCCACCTCTAATGAAGTAACAGATCTAGCTGCTAAAAGCATGAGATAAAAAGTTGATGAGAAACATTTATTGGATAGCTCAGGTTCATAACATCTGAACCCAGTGATCAATCTTAGTATTACTGACAAAGGAACAATGAGACATGCTTCTGATGTGTTGCAAAGCAAGAACCCACCACCATGATGAATTATTGCCTAAAACAAACAAAATTGAACCTGAATGTAATCAAGCCTCTACATCTAATGATAAGTAAAAACACACAGGATTACATGGGAGGCCAAGGCGGGCAGATTGCCTGAGCTCAGGAGTTCGAGACCAGCCTGGGCAACACGGTGAAACCC